CATCTCTCTATCCCTTGGTGGTGATTTCTTACACATCTTAGCATTAGTCCATCTCTCTATCCCTTGGTGGTGATTTCTTACACATCTTAGCATTAGTCCATCTCTCTATCCCTTGGTGGTGATTTCTTACACATCTTAGCATTAATCCATTTCTCTATTCCTTGCTGGTGAATTGTTACACATCTTAGCATTAGTCCATCTCTATCCCTTGGTGGTGATTTCTTACACATCTTAGCATTAATCCATTTCTCTGTTCCTTGCCGGTGAATTGTTACACATCTTAGCATTAGTCCATCTCTCTATCCCTTGGTGGTGATTTCTTACACATCTTAGCATTAATCCATTTCTCTGTTCCTTGCCGGTGAATTGTTTTGTGTAAGAAATCACCACCAAGGGATAGAGAGATGGACTAATGCTAAGATGTGTTCTTAGCATTAATCCATTTCTCTATTCCTTGCTGGTGAATTGTTACACATTCCAACAACAGTACTCTATCTTGCTTTCCCTTGAGGATGACTTGTTACATGTCCGAAAAGTAGTTCATCTCTGTCCCTTAATGATGACTTGTGACTTGGAATAAAATGTCAAAAGATTATCTGAGTAGAAAGAAAAGCTTTTGTCAGTTTTTCACTTTTTTTTGTCTTGAGTTTTACATTAATTGGCCACTTTTTATGTTATGTCAAACTCCTAATGCATTTTGTTCATTACAGTTTCCCAATCTGTCCTGTAAATGGTCAATGACCTCCAGGGCTCATATGGTTCAGCATGTTGTATGGCTAGGTCTTATACAAGAATTTTAAAAGAGTGTTAGTCAATTGATTGCAGAGAGCAATCAATTGTAATCCCCTATATAGTTGACACTCAGATTATGACATAGGTTCTCTGGATTTAAAATGTTTTATGGCCTTTCTTGTCCAATATCCATGACGAAGGATGTTTATCCATGTCTAGTTCCCACATGGCAATATTTAAGGAGTTTTTATTATTCATCATTGGATCAGAAGAAGTTTACCCTCTGAGGTAATTATAGCCAACATTTATTGTGGCAACACCTTGAAAAGATATTTAGAAGTGTCCAGAAGACCATAATGTAATCAACTTATTCATCCACCATCTTGCTTCTCTTAAATTGCCACAATTTGTCTTTTTACCTATAGTCTTGCAGCATTGGTACAACAGTACTGTACAGGTTTGCACTTTTCACATATTGTCTTACAATACTGGTGTAACAGTGTTGTGCATGTTTGTTTTTCACCCATTGTCTTGCAACATTGGTACAACAGTTCTGTACAGGTTTGCATTTTTCACACATTATTTTGTATCATTGATGCAACAATGTTGGACAGGTCAGTTTTCTCTCATTCTCTTGCAGAATTGATGTAGCAGTACTGTCTGTCTGCGTGTAAGGCTATTAACTGTTGCTTGGCATATAAAACTGTTTACTTTGTGTGGTAGGCAGATCTATCTATTTTTGGTTAATAATAATTTGACTGGCAAAGTAACACATAATACCTAGATATGTCTTTACAAATTGGGAACTTGTGTATTGGTATACAGGTAGGTACATTGCTAGCACATCATTACATATGTTTTAATATGTGCATTGACTAATATTATCATTACAGGTTATCAACCTATATAGTAGATGTTGTTTGCTTTTCATTTTTATTCCACCACAAAATTATTGTAAACCTATAAATTGTTAATATTGATAAACATATTTTTTTACCTCTGTAATTATACAACTTATTTTGGTCAAATGTAAAATGTTATTATTGGTAAAGGCATTTTTCTACGTCTGTAATACTAGAATTTATTCTAGTCAAGTAATGTTAATATTGTTAAAAATATGTTTATAATTTTTAGTTGTATATATGACCCAGTAGTTTTGCTTTAGTAGTATTATAAACTAGTGTATTCTTCTTCCATACAGGATGAGATGAGGCTCTACTATGTTTGTACCAATCCAAACTGTACCCATCGCTGGACTGAATAAGCTTTCATTGTCTAAACTCTGTTCCTACATAATGTTTAGTTTTTACTTCAGGATTATGTTTACTTATGTTTTCCCTCTCTCTTTTAGCAATATTTTTATATCAGTTTCCAGTGATATAGTAAAAAAAAATATAATTCAATTTCATGAGTGAGTAATAATTTGGTTTTCATAAAACAAAGTGTGACTTAATTATTTTGAATATCACGTACATACAATATCTCGGATGAGAAACAAAACAATGGGGCAATTAACCCCTTCCGGTAATCCTGCTTATTGTCTGTTGGACAGATTTCTAATTGAGAATGCTATTAACCAAACGACTTGTTTTTTGTGTATATACTAGTTAGAATTTGTTTATGTACTGTGAATTATACTGAAGCCCAGTCAAAAGATAAGGTAGTTCTGCCATGTTGCACTGTGTTGTATTTAATAGTTAAAATTCATATGTCTAGCATGGGTTATAAATGAATACAGTTGAAAAGAATACTTTTTTTTTTTACACAGTAAAATCATTTTATTTGAGATTGCTCTGCATGAATCTAAAATGAATCTAATTACAAATGGTCAAATCTTAACCTTGTCTCCATATCACAAACTTGTCATCAACATATCCAAATATCTGGTACCAAATCAAACTTAATTAAAGCTTCACTTTCAAATTCATTCATATAAATACTCAACTAGGGTTGGATATGGGATTTTTATTATTAAATTAGCTAATCAGTTGGGGCTTTTGGTTAAATATGGCCCTGGTAGTCAACATCTATGTACGTTTAGGAAGCATCTCAGTGGAAATTGTGGTATTAATGCATTAATCAATGATTGAGGAGGTAAATATGGCCCTGGTAGTCAACATTTATGTACGTTTAGGAAGCATCTCAGTGGAAATTGTGGTATTAATGCATTAATCAATGATTGAGGAGGTAAATATGGCCCTGGTAGTCAACATCTATGTACGTTTAGGAAGCATCTCAGTGGAAATTGTGGTATTAGTGCATTAATCAATGATTGAAGAGGTAATTGTTAAAAAAAAAAAATGAGCAGTAAGAGGCCTGGAACATCATTTTTGTGAAGTTTGATTAATCCTCCATATAACTCAATCAGCTGTGACACACGAGTCTTTTTTACATATGCAAATATATATTTGTGATCCTATTAATGTCATATGTGTGATTGTAGATGATCACTTGTAAAAATAGAATATTTTATTACTTAGCTGGTGTTGTGTCAGTTTTTTGCTAAGATGTCCACACCTTTTTCATTTAACTGAGTTTTTAAGTTTCTTGTTTTGTTTAGTTATTAATGATTATCTCGTAATTTTAATTTTAAGAGAAAGTTTTATTGATTTCAAGATAGCAAGTGAAATATTGTAAAAAAGAAAAACAAAAAATAATTTTAAGCACTCCGTTTTCAACATATAAATTTCCAACACCAAGAATAACAACTATTGAATACATGATCCACAACAGATCATTAGGAACAAATCATTTTATCAGCTTCTGGTTCAGAGGAATAATGGTACACAGGTAAACTGCCCCTAATAAAGAGAGGTTTGAAGAGAAGAAACAAGTATGATGATCACTGTTAAATGCTGTTTATTTCATATTACATGTCTGTGGGTTGAAAAGATGAAATTAAGATATGACAAAGCACAGTTGGCATATACTTAAAAAAAAAAAACATCTCGTACAACATCAGTGCTATAGAGATAATGTGCATTGCAAGATTATAACCCTTCAAGATGCATCGGTACCTCAGAGATAATAACTGTGTACCGACATCAGTGCTATAAGAGATAATGTGCATTGCAAGATTATAACCCTTTCAAGATGCATCAGTACCTCAGAGATAATAACTGTGTACATTATATGGTTAAAACCATTCATATTTCAGTGCCATAGAGATAATAATAAGGTACATTATAAGGTTATAACTTTTATGACATGTCAGTACCACAGAGATGAAAAATGATGTATATTATATGGCTATAAAAAGGGATTAAATTGGGGTGGAATAGTATGGAATTATTCCACCTCATGAGGATATAAGCCATTAGTGTTCCTAGTCTTCTCATTTAATTATTCCTAATGGATCACAAAAGGGAGTTCTACTTCTTTCAAATCCCAATTTATCCTTGAAGACACGTCCGTACCACAGAGATGATAATGATGTACATTATATGGTTATACTTAGTGTTACCAGACGTCCAAGTAAAACTTAGATCATCGTGGTTTAAGTTGTTGTTTTTTATCCATCCTAATCAGAAACAGTAAAAGTTCTAAATTGTCCCAGTTTCTTTGTACGTCATTGTAAGGTTGATATGTACAGTTTGTGATAATACATGGCTCCTTTAAATTTTATTTAGAGAATAACCTGACAAAGACAGATCACATTGAACAGTATTCCCTCCACCTCTGCTACATTTCCTTAACCCAATTTGGAATTGGACAACTGTATGAATTGAGATTTAAAGACTGTCCAGTCATTAAAAAGAAAATGAAAAATCATTTTTGTTTTAACCCTATTGAGATGGGTATGGGGTCAGAGGGCATGTCATCACGTTTGTAGATTTACATTCCACATTTTATTTAGCTATTATTTTCTAAACATATGTCAATAAGTTTGGTATCAAATTGTAGATTATAATTCAAGTTTTTAGTGTTATACATTAGTTAGTTTCTTAATTTTAAACTAAATATTGAAAAAAAAAACTAAATATTGATTTTTGTGTATCACTTGGTACATAGCCTTCTGGGCTTGGTCAGATTACATTCTATGATGCCCACAATAGAAAGTCTATAGTTTTGTACGAATTAGAAACTCCAATGTTCGATATTGGCAAGCTAGAATATAAAATAAGAACCTCCTACCTTTTCTATTTGCCAAGATATCATGATATTTTGCAAACCCATCATATTGGTTCTGCCCACCGCTTTATCGTTTGAGAAGACTTATTTATCTATGCCTACTTTTATACACCAATAACTTTATAATCAATTGAAAGCTATATATTTATTCTACATAATTCTGTCAGCCTTCATAAGTTATTTATGGAGAGAAATGCTCTTATGTCATTGGAAAGTTTGAAGTATTGTTATCAAGGCTGTTTTGTGAATAGAAATTATTTTTTTAGACCCGAATACAATTTAGTTAGGAAACCTGGTAAATTACAGTTGATTTTTAGAGTATCCCAATACAGTAATTTATAATATTTTGGTATTCCAAAATTTATTATTTTTCCATCTCCACGTGTGAATTTGGATGAGGCTTAGCAAGTATGGCTCTTGAGTGCAAACAAGGACTACATAGCATTGTAAGTAATAGAGACCATTGTGTTCCAAATATTTTTGATTTATTGTTTTATGTTTGAAGAAAAATAACTGGCATTTAAGTATTTATTTGAAATATATATATTTACTGTATTTTACAAAGTAAGAACATGTGTTATTTTACTACTTGTTTACGTTGAGGTAGAATAAAAACAAATTATACAAAACTAAAGACTTGGTAATTCGGGAAAAGTTTATTTATGTAATTTGTGAAAGTCTAAGAAATAAATTTATCAACTGATCTCAACACATGAAAATGAACATCTTTATATAAACACCCGGTTGAACTTGCAGTTTGCTGGTGAATAATTTGTTTCTCAAGTTACAATCAAGAAGGCTAAGCCAAGAATACTAGCCCAACCAAAACGAGCAGTATTTATATTACTGGAAACTATACATTTATTGGTTACTGTGTAAGCATGGTAATATAGGAAACAGGATGTCCATAAGCATTTACACCTATACCAACGCTAAATCCCAAGTCGGATAACTAGCAAGTTTATTGGATAGGATACAACTTTATACAGAGCCATATCATAAATATTTTCTCCCACTTTTATAAAGTACTTTATTAATTCTTGTTGAAACCACTATATTGTAAAGAAGCCGGCAAATTCTATCCTACTGTGTTATCAGAACAGCAATTCCAATAGTTTCTGTAGGATACTTCTGCTTTTTGACTTATTGGATTGGCCCAGACTTTCTACAAAGTCATAAACATTTTATAATAGTTTAGACAATTGTTGTTGTAACCATTATACTGTCAACAAGTTGATCAACCCTACCCCACTGTGTTTTCAAAGCAGGGAAAATTCTTGGAATTGTACTTCATGAACATATTTGATAATGACAGTGTCACAGTATGGTAACACTTAAACAGGAATGGTAATTCATTGCTTTATATTCAGCAGGTTTCTACTTCAGCTGCTAAAAGTTGAATAACAATAGGAAATAGGTGTAAAAAAATTGAAAAGAAACACTCAGGCGATTTACTTGGAACTTTACTGTCCGTACTGAAAAGAATAGAATACTATTCATTTTGTTTCTTCTAATTTCTAACTTATCTATTAGCAATAAAATAACTACAGGAAATAAGTGTGAAAAGGTGAGAGTAAACTCTGACCATAAGTACTTTGAAATTTTGTAATCACTACTAACAATGCTATACATTTTATTCTGCAAACTTTATTTTCGTTTTACTTTGATTACTTACCTACAACATTGAGAAATAAGTATAATGTTACAGTACAAAAAATACCAAATAAAATATAAAGCTTTACTGAAAATAAAAATGTTTGATATTTAATTATGTATTTTTATTTTGTTTTAACTATTTATTATTATAAAAGTAACTAAAATCATAAAAATAGAAAGTTGTTAGATAAGATAAAGAAAAATAATAAAAACCTTCATGGGGTATACGCACCAAAAGCTCCGGAATTACATTGTTCAATAGTTTCGTTCGATGCACGTGTGCCGTTGTATATTTCAACTTCTGCCTGGGGATTTTTAGTCAGACACGGTTCAAAGGTCAATAAAAAAAAAATTAATAAATATAAATAGATTTATACTATTATGAGATTTGAGCTATTTACAATAAATATTTGTGGTTTCCTGTTACAATTTGCAGTTATTCTAGAACAAAAAAGGTAACTTGGATTTCTTTCCTGATTTTTATGATGGTTATGAGGTCGGTAAACATTCTGAAAGAAAAAATTCACGAGCAAATCTTTAATAAAAAAATCTTAAAACATAATTCAAAAACCAGATATTTTGTATATGAAAGCCTTGTAATATTTACTAATAATCTGCAAAATTTTGTAAAGACTTACTTACATTTTCAAAAATTATAGTAGAATTACTCTCATAAATACTTTCCTGGTTACAAGCTGGGTGTATTCCACCCAGCCCATAATGGAAAGGTTAAATGGGTTCAAAAAACTTAGTTGCATTTTTTGTTCATTTTCCTTATATAAGCTTTTAACAGATTTTGTCTATGGTTTTAAAATGTGATGCAATAGACATCAGATTGTTTAGTAAATGGTAAAAAATGTATTACTATAATTTACACTGTTTCAATACTGTCACAGTGCACTCTGTATGAGAAAATGTCCCAGTTGTTTACTCGGGAAATCTGATAACACTAATTATACCCTTCCATGGCAGAAATGATAATGATATACACTGTAGTGTTATATCCCATGGCCTGATGTTTGGGGCAATTTAATCACAATTTGTGTGCCACGTGTTGAAATCCCATCACTGAACATGCTCGTTCTTTCAGCTGTGAGGCATTATAATATGATGGTCAATTCCACTATTCATTGTTAAAGAGTTGGCATCATTTGGTTTTGACTATCTCCCTGCCCTTTTTAGTTTATAATTTCAAAATTATGGACAGCTAGTACAGATAGCCTTTGAGTACAAACTACCATAGAGATAATAATGATATACATTATATGATTTTATAGAAATTTTAAATCATTGAGCTGAACACATCTTTGGATCAGAGTGAATGAATATTTTGAGTAAGAAAATGACTGTCACAAGTAATAAATTTTCAGAGGCATCATACTACCTACAAATCACAAAAAAATGTCAAAATATTGATACATGCAATTCCAGCTCTGGTTATCATGTGCTTGCTTGTTTACATATACAAAATCATTTTAATATAATACACTCATCCTTCTGTATAAAACCAAATGATTACTACTTTGTTTTACTTTTTATGAGTTGTATCATGAACCTTCCCTTTACAAGCTGAATGGTTAATTTTTAATTTACAGGCATAAAAATTACTAATTATATAATGCCATACAAGTTTTAAATAAGATAAAGATCCGTTACTAATTATAGTAATTCAAACTAGAGTAACTTTGCTGT